ACCACCACTCTCTGGGACATCCAGCCAATTATGAACCCAGCAGTTTGTCCAAGCCGTGGGCTGCAGCTTTTCCAGGAGTGTGCTATGGGAGATGGTATCAGAGGCTTTGCTGAAGTCCAGGTAGACTACATCCACAGCCTTCCCCTCATCCACCAGGCAGATCACCTGATCATAAAAAGAGATGAGGTTGGTCAGACAGGACCTGCCCTTCCTAAACCCATGCTGGCTGGGTCTGATCCCTTGTCCATCCTGTAGGTGCTGTGTGATCGCACTTAGGATGATCATCACTTTGCCAGACACTGAGGTCAGGTTGACAGGCCTGTAGTTTCCCAGCTCCTCCCTGCAACCCTTTTTGTGGGTTGGTGTGACATTCACCAACTTCCAATCCTCTGGGACCTCCCCAGTGAGCCAGGACTGTCGGTAAATGATGGAGAGAGGCTTAGCGAACTCTTTTGCCATCTCCCTCATCACTCTGGGATGGATCCCATCTGGTACCATAGGTTTGTGAGGATCCAAGTGGCTAAGCAGGTTACTAACCATTTCCTCTCAGATTTCAGGGGGGCTATTGGGCTTCCTGTCTCTGTCTATCAGCTCCAGAGGCCTGAGGACAACCTGTCCTAGTATTAAAAACTGAAGCAAAGTAGGAGTTAAGTACCTCAGCCTTTTCCTCATCTTGCGTCACACTGTTCCCTCCCATGTCCAACAAGGAATGAAGGTTAGGGGTTAGGGTTAGAGTTTTCTTGCCCTTCCTTTTGCTATTGATGTGTTTATAGAAACACTTTTTGCTATCCCTGACAGAAAGTGGCCAGATTTAATTCAAATTGTGCTTTTGTCTCTCTAATTTTCTTCCTGCATGACCTAACTATATTCCTAAACTCTTCTTGAGTAGACTGCCTTTTTTTCCAGAGTTGGTAAGCTCTCTTTTTTTTTTCTTCTTAATTTCCTGCAAAGTCTCCCTGTTCAGCCAGGCTGGCTGCCTTCCCTGCTGGCTCACCTTACGGCACACTGGGACAGCTGCTCCTGTGCCTTCAATACTTCCTTCTTGAAGTATTAGGAAGTGTTACTCTTTGTTCCTACAGGTTTATGGGGAGAGAGGGGCTAGTGATTGGCTTACCTGGATCCTTCTATACAAAGCTGGGACCTGAGTTTGCACTTTGTTTCATATGCGCTTTAGAAATGTGAAAATTCTTGCAGTTACCAACAGGGAACATCATCTACTGGTTCAGTTTTTCTGAAGAGTATTTTCTCCTGGTCGTTCATGTTTGGTGTTGAGTTGTTCCATTACAACCCAAAACCTTATTACTCAACAGAGGCAGGAATGGGAAAAAAAGTGAAGTCCCTACTAATTTCATGTCAGTATTTACTCACTTCCAAAGCAGGGCATACAAAACCTTGTCTTGTGTGTCTTTTTTTCTTTTGTTTTTGTAACCAGGTGAAACAAAAATGCTTGTGTCAACCAAAACACTAATTGAAGGTCAGAGGTTGTCATTTGTGAATGATCTTACAGTGACCCAGGATGGGAGGAAAATCTACTTCACTGACTCCAGTAGCAAATGGCAAAGAAGAGACTACTTGTTCTTGATAATGGAAGGCACAGATGATGGACGGCAAGTATCTCTGCCCCAAGGCATTTAACTTTCTGTAAGCTCAGTTGTAGGAATGGATTTCACCACTTCCTTGGTCTGCAAATTTTTTTCCCTTTATAAACCACCTGTGCAAGCAGGGTGAGAGAATGTGTGGAGGTTGCTAATGAGACCTGTGGTGAAATAAATGAGATTGCTCTTTTTCCTTTAAGAGGATTTGCATGGAACATGTGTTTTAAAAGTGAAGGTGTTAGCATTATGTTCAGCCCAAATCCTTCACGAATGCTGCCAATCTCAAGTGACTTACTATTTCTCCTGCGTTCATAAATAGCTGCTTTCTGGCTATTCTGCCTTTTTAATTTAAGTGAAGTACATGTGAAAAAAAGATAGAATGCTTGGACAATGAAACAGATGAATAAGTATTTGTCTTAACTCAGAAATGCTTTCTTTTTAGCCTTCTTGAATATGACACAGTAACAAAAGAAGTGAAAGTCTTAATGGTGGGACTGAGGTTTCCCAATGGTGTCCAGCTTTCTCCTGCAGAAGACTTTGTTCTGGTGCAGGAGACAACCATGGCTAGAATCAGAAGGTGAGTATGACTCTGCTGGATTTATTACTAATCTCTCTTTAGAGAGCTGAATGACAAAAGAGACCCTACACTTTATTATGCATAGTTATAAATAACTAAGAAGGTGGCCTTTCTCAAGAACAGATATTTTATTTTGCTATAAACATCTGGAATGCATAATCTTTCCATCATGGGCTCCTTAAGTGTAGTGGAGTAAGCTGATGTTTTTTTTGGGGGAGTGGAGTGTGGCTATGCTGTATTTCCCTTGACCAAAATAACAACAACAAAATTACTTTTAAATGAATTGATTTGGGGACTTTTATTTATTATTTAGACTGCTTGAGTTAAGGTGTCCTAATCTATCTAATGTGTCCTACTCTCTATAACTTTCAGGTATTATGTATCTGGGCTGATGAAAGGTGGAGCAGATATGTTTGTTGAGAATATGCCTGGTCTTCCAGATAATATCAGGTTAAGCAGCTCTGGAGGATATTGGGTAGCTATGTCAGCTGTCCGGCCCAATCCTGGATTTTCCATGTTGGATTTCTTGTCTGAAAAACCATGGATTAAAAGGATGATATTTAAGGTAAAAAAAATTAGATTTTTGTTTGAAAAAATCACCTTTAGTATAGGAATGGAAGTGATAAATATTTGTTTGTGTAATGGTGTTTCTTCAAAATGTGTGCTTATGTTCTTAGCTGCTTCTTCCAAGGAGTGTGGAATGGTCTTAGCCTATGTAAGTGTCTCAGATCTAATCATGGAGAACAAAATCTGTTGTTAATTTTCTTGTTTCCTTTTCTGTTTCTTTTAGTTGCTGAGTCAGGAAACTGTGACAAAGTTTGTGCCCAAGTACAGCCTTGTTGTTGAACTGAGTGAGACAGGATCCTACAAGAGAAGCTTCCATGATCCCAATGGAATGACAGCAGCTTATGTTAGTGAGGCACATGAACACAATGGATATCTTTACCTGGGTTCCTTCCGGTCTCCCTATATTTGCATACTTGATCTTCAGCATGTTTAACTGTCCATCCATGATAAAGTGCCACTGTCCTGTAATACTGCAGAGGTACAAGGGAAGCATGTGCTTGAGGCAGTGTGCAGCCAAGGACAAAAACTGAGACACAGTCTGTTAATGTGCAGTAGCACTGCTGCCATAGGAAAACTTATAGCTTGCTGTACCTGTTCTCTTCCTTGGTTTGACTGCTCATGCTTTGGAGCTGGCATGCATAATTGTTAATACCTGAGAAGTATGGTGAGACATCTTTATTCAATTATTTGTTCCTCAAATAAAATCCATTGCTTTTCCACGCCCAGCTCTGTTTGGAGTCATCTGAAACAAACATCATGTTGCCTCTAATGCAACTGTATGTCTTCTTACACTGGAAGGCTTTGTGATGTATGGAATTTAATTGTGTGTGATTTGGATTGAAGAGGATGGCTTGCATGTGTTTATTTCTGTTTTAGAACTCCTCTTTAGGAGTGATTACAGTGCATGTTCTAATGTCATACCATGGTGCTGTGGTAGAGGCAGCAACATCCAGGACATGCCTAGAAATCTAGTTATACCATTGGGTTTCTTCATTTCCAACCTGTGTAAGTAACATCAGACATTACAATTAATTGTTAATCAACATGCAGAACCAAATTTGATCATTATCTATGGGCTCCTGTGTTTCTTTATAGCAATATGGTCAGATGATGAACGAAAGTTGCATTTTCTGTGTTATAAAGGACCAGTTCCAGTGGGTTAAAAAAGGGTCGTTTGTAGTATTTCCTCCATGTTTACCAGGTTATTTAAATCTCCTGTTCATTATCTATGTAACCATTCCTG